TTTCATCACATGTTACAATTCGATCCAATATTCCTTCATTTCTGTACCGGTTCAACAAGGCAACACAAGTTTCAACACGCGTTTCTTTCTGCAGATCAGTCAAATCATGAGGCACCCATTTTTCGTATTTTTTTATTTTATTGATTTGACGCAAGTGAGTCAATATTGTGGGTAAGGTAACGTTAAACCATGCCGCTAATTCCTGGGTAGTTTGACTAGGATCGGCTTCCACTATCTCTCTTAATTCATCGTTATTCACCTGTGTGGGCGGTCTTCCTCGTGGCTCGTTCTTTAAGTCGAAATTTCCATCACGAAAGCGTTTAAACCAAAATCGCACGGTGCGTTCATTAGTAGACCCCTCTCCAAACGCAGCATTGATATTGCGGGCTGTTTCTGCCGCGTTAGTTCCGCGTCGGAACTCGTATTCAAAAATCACTCGAATTTTCGCAGTATCCATCTTTCTTGTCTAAATTGAATAACAAAAACAGTTGAAAGTCGATATTCAAATGTTTCAAATTTAAAAAAAAAAAATCACAGAAACCATTTGAAAAAAGTTTCATTCGAAAACCTCAAACCATGAAGATTCTATGAAAATTCAAAGAACCTATTGCAATAAAACGGCAATTTCATACTTTAACCCCTAATATTAACTACACCTTACCTATTTCTGCCGCCAAGCAGTAATGTGAGAATTACTGCGTTCTGTTTTTGAATAGAAAGGGTACTGGTGAAATTACAGGTACATGGGACTTGTTAACTTATGTCTCAGGGTTACAGGTGCAGTGGAAGTGCCCCTAAGATCTTTGCGATTTAAAGCTCTGAGTGGCACTGCAACTGTTATGGATACGCGTGTCGTTTACCACCAGGTACACGACTTGTTCGTCCCGTCACTTGGTAATAAATATTTTCAATAATTAGTCATAACAAGAACCTTTTATAATCTTTTTGGAATCAATAAAAAATTCTTCAGGACAAAGTGCGTGTCACTGAATGTACATAATATCGATCGACGATAATTCTTGTACAAACGTTCAAAAATACCGTGAAAATCATGAAAATATTTCGTTATTGAAAGTACATATTCCACTCTACTCATTCTTTATTTGAATAACCGAGTTTATTTCCATGAATCTCGTATGCTATTAATAATATAATATTTTCTCAACAAAATTATTGTATTTTTATTAAAATGAAATCTCTTTGACATCATAAACCTGGCTATTGACATGCGTGACGTGGAATATTAAATTTCTTTCCTCGGTCCATATTTAGAAAAAAAACGTGACCGATCGAATGAAAGAACGAATGTATAGTTATGACGTGTTTGTGAATGGGAGTATTTAAAAATAGAATACCAATAATCTTTTGTTTTATTTTTAAAATTCCGTGATATCTAATTTTCTAAAATCTTTGTTTAATTTCTTTTAGCAAATACTACAATGAAAAAGGGAATCCTAAAATGGTAAATAAACATTACCGCTACTGATTTTTTTTATGCAAGCTAGAAGGGCAGTTAAACTTTTAAATGCAATTTATACAAAATATTTTTATGTCCAAAATATAATTTTTTTTCAATTCTTCTAAACTTGTATCACTAAAAATACGTCAATCCTATCTAATTCGGAACGAAAAGGCACAGTTTTAAAAAGGAACTACTCAAAAATAGTCGCCCTTAAAATAGTTAAACCGAAATAGAGCGTAACCTAGCCCTTCTATTTACGGATTGTTTACTTACTAACAATTATACGACCATGTGGTGAAGTCGAGAAAGCATTCGGCGGTCTAATGAAAGTGGTGTTCAAGAAATTTGGTAGGGTACTATGATATGTACTATGATACGCATCTTAGATAAATTCTGCGGCAGGCTCAAGTGAGAGTGTCTGGTGTATAAAAAAATAAAAAATTGGTATAAACGTAGTAATGTGGAAAGTGCTATGTTTATAGTACGTGAACAATTTATTGTAGTCAGAAGCCGTGGCTGCCTAAATGACCTTCCGTCTCTCAAGGGAAGTACTGCCACCTTACTGATTTCTGCCGCCAAGCAGTAATGTGGGCATTACTGCGTTCCGGTTTGGAGGGGTAAGGGTGTAATTACAAATACATGGGACTTGTCTCCGTGGTCTCTGCTTACCCCTCCTGTGGGACAAGTACGACTTATGTATGTCTGTATGGGACTTGTCAACTTATGTGTCAGGTTGACGGGCGCAGTGGCGGTGCCCGTAAGATCTTTGCGATTTAAAGCTCTGAGTGGCACTGCAACTGTTATGGACAGGCGTGTCGTTTATCAACAGGCGCAGACTTGTTTGTCCCGTTAACTTAGTGTTATAAAAAAGGGAGAAATGTTACATTCATTTCTCTCGTGAGTTTGGGTATATTTCGTGACTGTCTATGTGTGTCCATGGCACTTGTGATACGTGGTTTCCCTAGTGCGGGACTATGAGTGTGTGCATTAAAAAAATGGCGTACAATGAACTAATAAAGAAGAACGTCCAAGTAAGCAGCTATAATAAGGTCAAGAAGCTGGCTACGAAAGTTAGAAGCGGAGGAGGCTACACCGTCAAGAGCCCGACTCATAGGATCTTAAAAAATAACTAATAATTTTGCAAACCCAATAACGAGGAAAAGTTGAAAGGGGTGCACGCACATAACGGGGTCAGTTACGGGGGTAGTGACGTCACGAGAGAAATGTTACGGGCACATTGATGAGCCAATTGAGAGAATCAGTTATTTCATTATTTTCGTGTTTGCACCATTTGGACTTTTCTTTGTTCACTGATTTCTGACGTTGAATGATGAGTGTGATTTCATTGTACATATTGCTGTCTTTATACAATAACGCAGTACTACATAATATTACAGTTCTGTACTAAGCATACAGCTTCTTGTCTATCGATGGCTGTTATGGACCTGTTCGTCCCGTGACTTGGTATTAAAGTAACGGGAAGTAAAAAAGAGCAAAACATGCAGCTGTAAGAGCGCGACTGGCGCTGGTGGCGTTATTTCCTGTGTATAGAATGTGGTAGTAGCCTCCGCAGCCTCCATACATCTTACTTAGTAAGTTTAGTAGTTCAAAAGTTGAAAGTCCAGTTTTATAGGTATTTATTCAGGTTTAACAATAATATTATGATCTTTAAAATGTAAACAATGTAAATATAACTAGTAAAAGGTTCAAAAAGATAAGTAGAGATGTGTTCGCTACCGTGATCCAAATTTGAATCTAAATACGAGTGTGAGAATAAAATTAGAAATTTAAATAAAAAGGTGGGATGACGATCAAGGAGGTCACACCGTCACACAGCGACGAGGCAGCAGGGAATGCGAAATTATATCGTGAATATATCACATATCTTCTAACGTTTAATAGCAGAGAGCTTCTTGTGAAAGGGTTCGCCCAGGGAAGTACAGCCACTTTGACTATTTCTGCCGCAGTTTGGAAGGGTAAGGGTGCTGGTGAAATTACAGACGCATGGGACTTGCCAACTTACGTCTCAGCGAGACTAGCTCAGTGACCCTAAGATCTTTGCGATTTAAAGCTCTGAGCGGTACAACGATCATGGACAGACGTCTCGCTTACCACCAAACTTGGCATCTTAAAAAACATCGTGAATAAAGTACAATTATCTTCTTATGTCATTGGTTTTTTTTTACTTTTCATTGCGAGAAATTTCGCGTGCTGCTATTTACAGATGATTATTAGAAGTACACAAAACAAAGAACAATGACTTTTTAACTCGAAAATGAGTGGGCATTATATAGTTGTGTACATGCCCCATCGTCGACCTCGTCATGACTTTCTGTCAGGTGAGATAAGGTCAAACATGCAAGTACGTTTTTTAATTAATACAAATAATGGTATAAATGTGGCTAATTAAATAATATGACTTTTATATCATTATCTTCTTTTTTTATACAATTTAATATGTCCGATCATTTTAGACAAACGCATACTAACAGTAAGGTTGACGCGTCACTATCTTAAGGGTAAAAAGATTTGCGTGAAAGGCCGATTTGAAGATCGGCGGTTAGCAGCGACCACCTAGAGCTTGTTTGTTCTTGTCAACCAGTGACGTTAGAACTAGATCAAAAACAAAAAGGGTCACCAAAATACGGGACGGGGCAAACAAAACTGTTTTGAATCTAGAAATGCCTCAAATTTCCTGATAGTATCATCGTCGGTTACATCTGTGCTTAGAATCAGGTTAGATTGGCCGTACATCTATTTTCCATAAAAACAAAAACAAATTGGTCTGCCTTTCGGCAATGCGCGGTCTCGTCTGGCAAATAAATATTTAAATATGAGTTTAAGCAGCGAATTTTAGAACTCTTTTGAAATTCACTAATAATAGCGAGGCCTCGTTTGTTTAACTGTATTTGTTTTTCTATTAATTTTAGCAAAAGATAAAGCTTCACTATTAGGTGTGAAATTGGGACAGAGTGGGAGAGAGATGTATATCTATTAAATACGTAGGCATTGTCTACATAAATGCAAATTTACCTCCTTGCCCCAGCGGGATAAGAAGACGTTCTATATCTATTTTTGCTGTGATTGTACACACTCCTTTCGCTTCCTTTATTCTTAACTTGTACAATAACCGCTCAACTTACACTGCTACCATTGTACAATATCGGTGTACCACCCACCGCGTATTTGTTATTCTAGCTACTCGTCTGTGCTTAGAAGTTTTTACTTATATATGTAGTCCATAATATTCTTGATCTCAAGAACAGTTTGTCAAAACAATCGAAAGTCGTCAGCGAGCGTATCATTTTATGCCATCGATTCGCGCCTTATTCAAAACAGTGTCGCACGCATGCGCCGCCTGCCAGCAGTAAACATGCCACCGTAACTTCCAAATTTCCTACCTTTCCCTTTTCTATCTTCCTTCTTATTCCCAATTTATTTCGCCAATCTCCTTTATGAAATAACGAATAGAATATTCAATTTTGGATTTCAAAGTTTTATATCTGTGATTCTAATTTTGTTTTTTTTTTGTCCACAGATTGGTGCAGGCCGCACGGATAACACCTGCCAGTGCCACAGATTAACATCCGCGCCCCTGCACCGCGACAATAGCATAAAAAAACAACCAAAATCCAAGAAATCAACAACCAAAGCCTCCAGTCATATCTTTCGTTTCGAAAAATCTAAATATAAGCACTATTTTTTTAACCTTTTAACGATAAAATAATCGTAAATAGTATACGGTAACTCCCAAACAGTACAAATTAATTTAAGTCTGAAGTGATCGGTATTTACAATAAAGAGAAGCCTTCGACAAGCGAAAGAAGAAATCTATCAACGACCAGTATTTAAACGTTCCAAAATAATAGAAATCGTTAAACGAGTGCACAAAATATTTTATCGACCGTTAACAATTTATGACGAACCATTTCCTCGTGCATTTTGTAAAAAAAAATCAGCCAAAGATTTTTTATAAAGCCCGTAGCTATTTAAGACTCGTAAGTTAACTGCCTCTTAATTAAGGATTTTTTACATTACTTATTTGTTAGTGATCAAACGAAGTTATTGTGATTAGTGTAGTGTAAACCAGTGTGCCGTATAACCGTAACTTAAGTGCTATAGTAGATACCGCGGACTAAAACAAATTTAAACCGGGATTTAGAGTACAAATTGATAAGTTCCAGTGCAGTTCCGAGTGTTCAGTACAACATAGACTTAGTAGAGCTTATTTTTGTATAAGAGGATATAAAAGAAAGAGAGACGAGAACAAAAAGGGACACGATGAGACTGCGTCGGATGAAGAAGTCATGAGCGAAGCGCTCAGGGGTCAAGAGGGTGCGGACAGCGCGCACCTACCGCCGTTCGCGACCTTCAGCGACATGGCGGAGAACGAGCAGAGAATCCTCACAACGGACACCAGGCTACTGGATCCAGCCTGGGAATACTATGAGAGAACCGGCGACACTGTATCAGTGATCGCCAGTCAGCCGCAATACAGGCCGTGGGAATCCATGCCTCTAACGGTCAACTCCAAAGATGCTATCCTCCGAGCCGGCTTTTCTTCACCTTTGGAGTACCATCCGGTGACTCTTCAGCCGATACCGAACAAGCTACCATCATTCCAAAGCCAATTCCAAACATTTCCGGAGACTACAGTCATTCCCGAGACAGGGTTGCCGAGCGTAACTCCTGTGCCCGTCACCGCGAGCCCGGCGCCTAGCGCGAGCCCTAGTCAGTTAACACAGCTCACGCAACTTACCACTCCTTCGTCACCACACTTGACAACCCTAACACAAGTAACACCACTATCGACAACTTTGACGACCCTATCACCTGTCAACGCTACTACATTCCATACACTAACAGCTGTAAATGCCAGAAGCTATCCTATAGTGCCAGCGCCATTGCAAGCGCGAGAATTGACTCCCGCCGGTCAGACGTACATTGACGACAGACACATACAACTGTATCAACCAAACATTGCCACAATAAATGCTTTTCCCGCACAAAATGGAATCTTACATCAAAACGGAACACTGCTCCATCAAAATGGAAGTATTATACAGAACATCCAAAACCCAACAGTCGTACATGTACTGAAAAACGAGCCGTTTGATATCAAAAGTCTACAGGACAAGTATACTCCAAACGGACTTCATCATACTGATTTCCAGAACCCAATGTTGATAGACAACGGGTACGAAAAGAAAACAAACGGTTTTGGCAGCGCGTCATCGCCAACGAGATCAGATTTTAGAAAGAAAGAGCGACGGAAAATGCGGGCAAATAGTTCAGAGTCAGATGGGTCTAATATGGAAGTAGGGTCGGAAAGTAGTGGACAGGTGGCAGCGATCTCGTCCACCGCTGGGTTCAAGTCTCCGATGCACGGAGCACCGCCTATGAACACCGGACCCATGGACCTGGATGACATGTCAAGCGAAAAACAGGTGAGTGTTTCTCTTTTTATATTCCATAAGTTGACACATCGCCGACTAAGCCATTTATTTATAACTTCGTGACTCACTGATGTTGATGACAAGATTTAATTAAGTCCTCAACGACGTTGTCCTGACTAAATTCGACTCGATTCTGTCCGGATAAGCCCAACCAATTTGTGTTTCTTTCACTAAACTTTGATTTAATCTTCAGCTTAATGTGATTCACCTCTAGAATAAACAGTAAACTAACTGAACATGTATTACAGAGCAAGTTCAAACGTAACACAATAAAATCAGGAACGACAACTAATCTTCCTTTCCACAAACCGGCGAATTGCGTAAACAAGCCGCGAGGGAATAGCGAAGAGCTGACTGAATATTCGACGAAAGATATGAGAATTCTCAGAATTTCACCCGACTGCGCTACGCAGAAAGTGGATTCGAGAGATCCCGAAAAAGAGAAACTTTTGTCGTAATTCCACCTTTTATTATTCGGGGAGCAGTTTTTATTCCCGGTCGGAGTTTCGAAATGGCCAAACTCTCTGTCTTCGCGGCTATAAATTTAATAGTTAGCCGATTCTCTTGCTCCGCCAATAAATTAACTTCTCTCCCGTTTAAAACACAAATTAAAGTGGGGCGATTTACGCGTGTCCTGCTTAGAAAATTTTATGACTTTCATTCAAATTTAACGGCAATGCAATTAGGCGGCAGTGCCGAAAAGGGCTTCGTTTTCATTCGCTATATGTGCTTAGTTTTCTTTTGTTTGGTAAAGCAATTTAGAAATTAAATAACTCAATCAAAGCAAATTTTAATAGCATAAGATGATTGAAATCCCTTTTTGATTCATGTAATTACGTTATCAAACCGACAGCAGGTCCTTCCTTCTACTCAAGAAATAAGGCGTATAATAACTTGGTAAAAAATCTCAAGCCGAGTTTGGAAAATGTTACTCAAAAAAAACAAGAAATACTTTGGATTAATTCACAAAACTTTAGTGTGTTCACAAGTTAGAAACAAACAAGTTTGTAGAGCATTTTTCATCTGTAATTCCTTCATAGCGTGACGCAAAAAACTAATCTAACAGCTTTGGTCTCACAGCTAGGAAAGGACGACAGTCCAGCAACATTCCTCTTTATAAATGTCAGCGCTTCCTAGTCTAATAATGAACACCTTTGCGCTCGCAGCTGCACTGTATCTAAGTGACTAATTATCCTTTTTTTTCATTTTTTGCAAGGTTAGATATTTAGAGTAATTAGAAGTGCCTAAGATGGTTATTTAGTCAGCCGAACGGTTTCAATGGTTAAGAGAATTCTTGTGCCCTCAGCACTGAAAGCCAGCCGGAGCAAAACAATCAGCACTTTAACAAAAACTGCTGTTAAAAACTGTTGTTAAAAAACCCCTTGGCGACATTTAAATACAACACTTATCAGCACACAAGATACTAGTTCACTTCTTTTCACTGGTTAACTTATTCTAGACATAAAAAAAAATTAGAGATTTACACAATACAAATTAACCATTCATTTTGTTACATTATTTTTAAAAAGTTTTACATCTGGCAACGATACCGACATTAAAACATCTCGGTCTTTAAAAATTAACTGTAATTGGTTGAAATAAGGTTTAAATTTACGTAAACGCTAACCCGAATTCTTTCGTGTATGTGCGCGTGTATTTTGATGGGAGCGCGTATATTTCATGAATGAAATAGAAGCCGGAGACCTGCCCGCTTGTCTCGCGCTGTTATGAATCTCATCGGGACATGCGGGGTATGCGCGCTGTCTAGTACAGTCTTCTGGAAATACATGGAACATTTTAGGTAAGCCGGTGGGAATCGAGTTATAAACGCCTCGCCACTGGTACGTTATCACCACTTTAGAACTTAAGTTTCGGCTTTTTATTACAATGACACATTTCGCATTCTTATAAAGTTACCACGATAGTGTATTGATCGCGTTCGCCGAAGCGAGAGTACCGGACTTCTTCACTGTTTTCAGGGCTCGTATATCCTCTGGGACAGACTGCGTTGTTCTGATAACGGCATACTGAGAGCCATTTACGCCGATATATCTGTTCAGCTTTTAAAGTACTGGCTTTCCATCCACTGTGACACAAACAGGAAATAAAATAAACGAAGACCTTTGCAGGGCATATCTTCTTATTTCAATTTACTTTTGTCTTTTATATTATTGTTATTGGTTTTTTACTTCGCGCTGTATTAGTAAAGAATTGTTTTTGTCTGGAAATAGACTATTAAGATTGTTATATTGGATTAAGGTACTAAAACCAATAAGTAGTATTCAAGAAAAATTTAAAAAAAAAAGTGTGAACCAAGAAGTACAATTCTGCACCACTTTAAAATTGCACTCTTTGCGTAACAACGTCAGTGCAAAATGACAATTTTGCAGGAGAGAGGTTTAAAGACTCTACGACCGTAATTAGTTGATAACTTTGTTATGCTTAAATAGGAGAGTCAGAGGACAAAAAGTAACGGAGTGTTATAAGAAGTTCCTTATACATAATGTTAATACGTCCCGTTTTGAGCGTGACAGTCCCGCTGTCAACAAAATACTTTACAATATCCCGCTTGACAAAACAGAACTCAATGACATTACTTTTTTTTAAAGTGGCGCATAAGCGAAAAATACATAAAGTCAGCTCACCAACCTGCACAAGATTACTTCATTTCTAAATTTTTCATTATTAAATATTTTCAGTTCTTTTTCATTTTTTTTAAATCATGAAATATTTCGTAACTATCATAAACATGTTTTTTTTAAACAATAATAAATTTACAGTCGTCCAGCTCTGGAGAAAAAAATAATGATAACGTTACTTATACACATAATTTGTTTCATGTAGTTCGTATTCTTTTTTTACTTTCATGCATCGAGTATCTAACCAGAAATAGAGACGAAATGTCATTTAATTTGTTTGAAAACTATTCTGCCAACTCATTACGGTGACAACTGCTCTCCGATTGGCCAGGTCAATAGTTTAAGTTGAGCTTTGCTATAACGGACGAAAATTGAAAAATTACATATTTAATATTTAATTACCGATGAAATATGATTCCGGTCGTTTTGTAATTAGATGTTTTGCTGTTTTTCCCACACCACTGAATGGTACGGCCCCCATTGTTAGAGATATTATCTTTATTACAATAAATACAGAATATTCTTGGAATATACGGAGACATACACATAGGTCAGTTGTTGGCGCTGTACTATTTCAGGGCAAACGAGAGTTGATATTTAAAAGACATATAAGGCCCAATTGCCATTTGCCCGCTCATTTGCCTAACGAGTTGCCAGGGATGAATGGCCCTTATTTCGTCTTTATTTCTGGTTATATACTCGACGCCTTCATGTGTTAAAAGCACTTTGTACGCATGATCAAAGATACGAGATACAGAACGATCCTTATAAATTGCATAAGCAGATACTTAAGCCTGGTGTGAATAATATCCATTCTATTATAATTACTCGTATTTCTTATAACGACATGAATCCAATAACATAATTGAATCACATGTGATGATTCACGGATCATCTACAGCTGCCCGACACACTTGTGTTGTTATCAACGGATCAGTAATGTTATCAGCGTATCAATGATGGATCATCACGGATTGTGTTCAATTAGTATAGAAAATATTTGTACCCGCTTCAAAGTAGCTTTTCTTATATGTCGATTGTACAAAATTGTACGAGATGCAATGCACAAACCGCGACGCAGATACGGGTCTCATCAGCTGGTAGTAGTAATAACTTAGGGCTGCTAACAGATTGACAGACTTCACTTAACTGTGTGCAGTCGATTTCGGCGGCAAGAAGTCGGTGTCGACTGCATACTGTTAAAGCGTGAAGTCGTTATTCGAAACCTCGACTGAAGTTGATAACGACTTCATGCATTAACTGCATGCAGTGGAAACCATGTTCATGTGCACTTCATGCAGCCGAGATCGACTACGTGTAGTTAATGGGTTAATAAAAAACAAACAAAAAAAGAAGTTCAAATTTCTAGAGTGGTTATATTACATTATATGTACGTTAGTCTAAGGTATATATTATATGGGTCATGTAGCCTGAAATAAATAAATAAGTAAATAAAAAATGCGTTACCAAACTTCGAGTGTATTTTCACGCTTTAAAAATTGTCTCTGTCAGCGAATTGACGCTTCAAGCGCGGCGATATTTTCGTGGCCAAGGTGTCAGGGTATTCTTTTCGCTCTTTGAGACAGATTACCGCAGCCATCCGACGCAATGCTGCGATTCATTAAAACAAACAATGCGATATAAACTTTATCTACTACATGATAAGGTTACACTTCTTTAAACTAAAAATGAAAAAGAAGCTGCAAACGGCGGCAGACGGTGGCGTCGAGACGCGCCAGACGCACTTTAGGTCAAACAATATAATATGGAACACATTCTGTAGTAAATAAAGCATGTCCTTCTAACACTAATAAATATCTATATTGCATAGTTATCTTCCAAGTAACCTCATTTTGTAGAATATAAAGTTTATGTTGCAATTGTTTTAATGTGTCGCAGCGTCGCGCCGCCTGGATGCGGCAATTTTGAGCGAACCCTTTTGCATGAACACCGTTTTCTGTTTGGCTCAAGCCGATTCCCTTGATAAGTGAGTTGGCGCCCTTAATGCAATTTTATAGAAACCAATAGTGTCGGCTGCAATATAGAACTACTGCATTCTATATAAATCAAGTCTTATTCGGAACAGATTCTACTGAAATTATCCGAATTCGAATTTCGAAAGTCACATAATTCCCACAATTCATGTTGCCTAAGAGTAAAATACACACCTGTTCGTAGCAGCTACAGTTCTACTCTTAGCTTTAAATCACAAAAATCATAAGACAGACATAAGTCCCATGTGCCTATCATTTCAACACCATCCTTCTAAACCGAAACCCAGTAATGCTCATAATATATGTATAATATAAATAATACGCTTGGCAGCTCGGAAATATGTAAGGTGGCAGTACG